CCCAAGTTAATCCCGTTTATACACCTACCAGTCGGAATATGTGTGTTCGTATTCCTATACTCTTTGAACACAAATATTAAGTTCTTTTCCTAATAGGCAAAAAAAAAAATAGCCTTTATTTTTAATTCACATTTCTTTGTGATTGCACCNTTTATACACCTACCAGTCGGAATATGTGTGTTTGTATTCCTATACTCTTTGAACACAAATGTTAAGTTCTTTTCCTAATAGGCAAAAAAATAGCCTTTATTTTTAATTCACATTTCTTTGTGATTGCACCGTTAGTCACCTGAGACTTTTATACTTGGAAGAAACTTACGGGTTAGGTATACATCATAATATTTACAACCCAGATGTTTATACTTTGCTGCCCTCTTTTACTTAAAAGTTTTATTTTGGTTTTATTGTCTTTTTTTCTTTTTTTTAAAAAAAAGGCCTTTTAGTCATTCTTGGGAATGATTGTGAACATTTAACCTACCTACGTATAATATTGATACTAGATTACTTAATCGGTAACTTAAATGTATGTTTTCAAAATTTAAATCAGTAAAGTACAAGGTAAATAAAATATATTTACTGTTTATGGCTTGAACCTGTGAAATTATAATTTATATTTCACACCTAGGTATTAAGTGTAGGTCCGTGATTAGAGCAGTTTAATGTAGCAATTACTTTAAAGGGGAAATTAATCCAACAGTGTATCTAGCAAAGAACAACTATCATATGACTTGAATTTTAACTTTTAGAAAATCAAAGCCAGGCATTAAAATGAAAATCTTTTAAAATTTCCTTTATATAATTAAGAAAATTACATCACAGTGAAAATTTTTTGCACCGTAGCAACATCTTGTCCTGTCTTTTGTTTTACGCTTTCAGTTCTGAGAAGCCCAACTGGGATTACCATGCTGAAATACAAGCATTTGGACATCGGTTACAGGAAACCTTTTCCTTAGATCTTCTCAAAACTGCATTTGTTAACAGCTGCTATATTAAAAGTGAGGAGGCCAGACGCCAAAAACTTGGAGTAGAAAAAGAAGCAGTTCTTCTGAATATTAAAGATAATCAAGAACTCTCTGAGCAAGGGTCATCTTTTTCACAAGCTTGCCTCACTCAGTTTCTTGAAGATGCATTCCCAGACTTGCCCACTGAAGGCGTTCAGAGTCTCGTTGACTTTCTCACTGGTGAGGAAGTCGTGTGCCACGTGGCTAGAAACTTGGCTGTGGAGCAGTTAACGCTGAGTGCGGAATTTCCAGTCCCCCCGACTGTGTTACAGCAGACTTTCTTTGCAGTAATTGGAGCCCTGCTACAGAGCAGTGGACCTGAGAGGACTGCACTATTCATCAGGGTAGGTCATTATTAATTGCGCATACCTGGACATACTTGAGATGGACAGAAAGAAAAATTTCCTCATTCATTTCAATGCTGTATGACCATGGAAGGTTCTGTGTGTAATTTTCTGGCTACCAAAACTGAGAAAGACCTAATGGTGATATATGAATTGGTAATGCATGAATTATTCCAGTTATCTCTCATTGAGGACATCATCGGCGGTGAATGTTAAGCACTGGGTCGTGAGTTCGTAAGGACTGCAAGCCATGTCTTTAGTTTTACACCCGTAGGTCCAAGGATAGTGCCCCCGTAGCAGATGCTCAGTAGATGTGCAGTGAGTTAGACGAAGGACACTATGGGAGGGCCTTGTTGGCTTTGGAACCGTCATGCTTAAGTGATAAAATCTTGGATTTCTGAGTTCCTGTGATGCACACCTAACTTCTTATCAGCCAGTAGCTTAGCTAAGTAAAACAATGTAATTGGTATGTCTTGACTCCCACTGTCCTTTTAGAATCTATTAACTGGGAGAATGCTTATCTTCTGCGTTGGATGAAAACGAGTTATTGATTACTCTTACATAATGAAAAGTCCACACAGTCACATTAAGTGAAAAACAAACACACAGTCTTGATTCAGGTATTTGCATGTTGGGTCTTTTAAACCAGCATCCCTTGCTCTTGGAACTTACCCACTTGGTTTGATACTGAGTGTCACAACTTTTGTAGAGAAGGATACTTATGTTAACCAACTCTCAGGCTTAGTTCATAGGTAAAACCTGTCTTCTGTCCCCAACTAAGGCCTGTGATAGGTGGGCACCTGTTTGCCTTTGGGAAGTAGGTATGTTAACTGTCCCCTCTGGAGTGGGAGCTCAGGGAAAGAGGAGAAGGAAGAGCAGAAGATTTTTACTTGACTTGATGACTGTGAGGTGATGTAGTGCTTTCTGAGCCTGGTTGATGTTTAAAACAGACTCTAAAGGGCATCATGTGCCCTGCTGGAACTTTCCTACCGTGTTCCTTGACATGGTGTTGGCTGCTCCTTCCCTTCTCAGCTTCTGGTTTCTAGAAGGACTTTAAAAATGGCTCCCTCTGTGGGTTCCACATCAGGTCTTAAGGGTTTTTATGCTTTAGACACCGGTTGCAGACTTTTCTCCCCACTACTACAGGCAGCTTCTGCCAGCATGCTGCCTGTAAGCCAGGAATGTGTGTTGGCTGCCAGTTCACTGTACATCCCTCACCCCAGATTCAGAGGCCAGCGAACACTTGCAAGGCCTCTAGGCTTGGGGTGAAAAGGAAACATGCCTACTTTCCCCTCCCAGAACTAAATAGCTTTTTCTAAAGAAAGTCTCAAGTCCTCCCTTGATTTCCATTATTTTTATCATGGTAGCTTCTCTGGAGTCTTAGAACCCTCCAAACGATTTTTAGTCACTTTTTAAATATGTTTCTTTTGTTGTTGTTTTTATTGATTTTTAAAGAGAGAGAGAGAAACATCAATGAGAGAGAATCAACATCCATCAGCTCTCTCCTGCACACCCCCTACTGGGGATCAAGCCGGAAGCCTGGGCTTGTGCCCTGACCGGGAATTGAACCAGTGACCTCTCAGTGCATGGGTCAGTGCCCAATCACTGAGCCATACCAGCTGGGCGGTCACTTTTTAAAAATTTCTATAAAGTAGTCATGAGGTCATTTTGGACATATTTGCTTACTGTATTTTAGTGCTTCTTTGACAGTTCCAATTATAGAACATATTAGTTAATTACGATACCTATTCCTAAGTCAGGAGGCTTTCCTCACCCTGCGATTGGTTATTCTATATGGCAAAAAACAACCCGGTGATTCATACATAGGTGAATAACAATTTATGTCTCAGAAGGCAAATCTTGTCTCTGTACATTAAAATATTCAGAATTCCCAACTGAGAATGGACTTAGAAATATTTTTGATTCGTGAAACTGAAATAGAGGTCTGGCACTTGGGGAAGTGATGTAACGAGATTGACTCTATTTTGGGAACTGAGAAATCTTTTTTATTTCTCCTGTCTGCCCCCATTTAGCCATCCTGTTATATACTGTGTTTGTTAACACAAGTTAATTGCATTATATTGTGAAAATTAGTGTAGGTTCCCATATTTTCTATACAATATAATTTATTGCCAAAAAATTCTCTTTTGCTTTGAATGTTTATCATGTTCCTCATGTTTTTTAGTTTTATAAATTGAAAGTATGTAAAGCCATAAACACTTTTAAAAGGCAGTTAAAGTGAAGTTACTATATTTGGGGGGGTGTAAATCAAAGCATTTTATTGAAGGTGTTTGGGGAAGGGTCAAGGGCTGGGAGGACAGTGAGATCTCACATCCTCTTCTGGCCATGATCTCCCAGCTTCACAGCTGCCGAAATCATGAAGTTAATATTTAAATGATTTTTTAAAATCATGAACTTAAACAAAGGACTGTTACCTAGAAGGCCCTTAGTGTCTTTTTACAAGTTTCTGCCAGAAGTTATTAGTTTATTCACTAATTAAACCCTCTTTTAAAAATACTTTTATTAATAAGAATACATTTCTAAATGGTGACACAGGATTTCACCTTCAACCGTGATTTTTAAAATAAAACTTATATGAGAAAACTATATGTGGAATAGATGAAAAGGAATAGTACATTTTTTCTTTCATTTCCCATTAAGTGTTTAATTTCTGTTAAAGTCGTACTTTGAATTATGGTCCTTATTTTTTTTACACTAATCTAAATGTATAAATTATATTTTTATATGCAGGACTTCTTAATTACTCAGCTGACTGGGAAGGAACTCTTTGAGATTTGGAAGGTGGTCAATCCCATGGGGCTGCTGGTGGAAGAACTGAGGAAAAGGAATATTTCAGCTCCGGAACCCAGACTTACCAGGCAGTCTGGAAGCACCACAGCTTTGCCTCTGTATTTTGTTGGCTTATACTGGTTAGTACAATTTTAATCTTAATTTCATAACATTGATTGGAAGCCTTAAAAAAAGAGAGACTTTACAATTCCTCAGTATAACCTCTGATTGCATGAAAAGACTTAAAAATATCTCATTCCCATGATTACTACTTCCTTTCCAGCTGGTCATTCTTAGGGAAAGGTAAGTCATCTATGGATTGCTAATAGTATCTCCCCCCCCCGATTTTCTTTCCTTTTTTAAAAATTATTTTTCAATTACGATTGACATTCAATATTATTTTATATTGGTTTTAGGTGTACAGCATAGTGGTTAGACAGTTACATAGTTTACAAAGTGATCCTCCAATATTTCAAGTACCTGGCCCCATACATAGCAGTGGAGGACATTATAAGGAGAAAGTGGGTGGCAGTGTAAACATTCACCTTCAGTTTTCATTCAGGTCCAAGCAAAACAATAAGATGCTCTTTTGCTCCTCAGATTGGCAACCTTTAAACACATCCTTTATTAGCAGTTCATATACTATTGCTGGTAGAAAGGAAAAATGTTTTTGTTAATTCTGGTGGATGATGTTGCCAAAATAAGGTTTACAAGGCAAAACTGATTTGTGGGCTGTGCTTTATGATGCACCAGGTAATTTTGGACTGCTGCTGCTGTTTTTATTCTAGTGATAAGAAGCTGCTTGCAGAGGGACCTGGGGAGACAGTCCTGGTTGCAGAAGAAGAAGCTGCTCGAGTGGCGCTCAGGAAACTGTACGGATTTGCTGAGAACAGGCGGCCTTGGGACTATTCAAAGCCCAAACAGAATTTCAGAGCAGAAGAGACCATCACTGCTAGCTAGCCAGCCAAAGATGGGACCTGAAATTCGTAAGCAAAATATTGAGACAAGCGTCAGGTGCTCAGAGCTGGACGTTTTCCACATTGTAAAGAAATGTGTTTACCCTCATACTCAGCCCCTAAAATTAAATGGGCTCTCATCAGGGCACATGTCTTTTAGGTTGTTTTTCTTTCGTTCTCTTTTTGGATGTTTCCCATTAAATTTCCCAGGCCCTTGATTTTATTACCGTATGTAACTCGTACAATAGGTGTACTCTATTCCCTTCTGGCTTTGAGGTATCATAATTTGAATATAAGTTCTGTGTGAACTTTGCTGTAATACCATTGAAAAAGTTAGTATTTCCGTGATGTTTCATTGTAATTTAATTTGATATACCTGGGTGAGTGAACTCCCCGAACCCTAATGCTTTTGCTTCTAAAGTAATTTTAGCTAAAACAGTGATGTTATAACTTAACCTTCAGAAATGTAAGGTGCATATTATAGCAGTTAGGTATTTACATGATCTCTAAATCATGTAAGTAGGTTTAAAAATCTGTATACTAATTCATTTCATAGTTATTCAATTTCTATAAAATAAATGGCAGGAAAGGTACATTTTATGCTTTTAAAAGAAAACACGAAGATCAAAAGCAGCAGCTTGAAGTATTGAAGCCAATGCTCGTGGAAAAATAAAGGATGTATTTATCAATTTAATATTCTATAATCATAATCATAGCTGCTATGTGCCAAGCACTGTTCTAAGTGTTTTACTGTAAGATTTAATTCAATCTAGGACAAACCTTAAGTGTGTCCTCTGGCTCTAATCCTCTGTGGTCAGTTCTGTAACCCACTTGCAAATTCTCTTTGGTTTATTTCTCTTTAACTTTTTAGCAACAGTTTTCAGTTTCAGTCTGCCAATAGTTATGCCCAGGGCTTAACAAGAAAAGTGGGAATTGGGAGTTGAGGATAGAAAAGGTAAAATGTTTAAGCTGGTAGCACTATTGCCATGAAATCTTTATAAAGGAACATGAAGGACCTCTGAAACTTGCCTGAGACTCGTTAGGAAAGTGGAACTTATCACATGTAAGAGAGTTTACAGACATCATAGCTAATGCAGAGACTGTTTGGATTGGAAGGTTTGAGAATTACTGGAGCTGGTTGAATTTGGTGGGTTAAATGTAAATTATTTCACCATTCTTTGGAGAGTTAACTACTAATAGTTGAACACAGGGACAGAGGGCCAAGCCCAGTAGTAAAATGCCACACTTATGTTTGTCACCCACAGCAAGTAAACATGATTGATAAGCAGCTCATTGATACCTAAAGAGAAAAGAGATTACAGAAGGTTTCAGGGAAGCAAAAGATGGTAAATGTTCTCAACCACTGATTCATCCATCATATGCAAAAACATCAGGTTCTAGCTAGAGTATTTGAATTTTATTTTAGGTGAAGACTTTTTCAAAGGGTTTGTTAAAGAACTTAGTTGCAAACTCAGTAGTCCTTTCCCCGATAAGTAGTGCTGATAATGTGACCCCTAAATTCTGTTCAGGCCCGTTTGCAGTACCTTAACCTATGAGGTTGGAGGGGAAGTGTCCTCACCTTACTGTCAAGCTTCTGAACCTTGAATGCTTTTAGATTTATATACAGAACAAAGCTAGCTCTAGTTCATAAAATCTAATTTGCAAGTAAACAGACCCGAATTCCTTATGGAGAATGTGATTTCAGCATATATCTAAGTAAAGTCTCCTTTGAACCTACATTAAGGGGTACTTTTTAAAGGCACCCTGAACGTGTGGGCTGGAATGTAGAAAACAAATTATTAGCATGCTTGAGTGGTTCTGTATGAAATAGCTTAAAACTTGGAACCAACCTGGACAACTCATTTGCTCTAACAATATATCCTGTGTAAGTCTGATGTGTGGGCAAGAGGAACCTGTGGGTTATGGGTTATGTAACTAAGCATTCAGCAACCATTTGAGGACTAGGTTTTTGACTGTCTATAATCCATGTTGAGAAGACAGCTGTTAACGACCATAGGAAGTTGGTGAGATATAAAAGTACTGATACTTGAACTTGGCATAGGAGAAGACATTAGAGTCATTTACTTTGAAATTCTGATTCCCTTTCTCACCTCTTCCCACTCCAGTTCCCTAACTCCAAAATATAATGGCACCAAATAGTTCCTTAGCCAAAAATGTAAATTGATGTCTACAGACTCAACTATATAAGCCTTATTCTTTATAGTACATTTGTTTTTATTATTTGCATATATAAAGTAGAGAATATTATTCTTGAAGTATTTTATGTGGTCATGAGAAAGTGAACTATATTACTAAAAACAAATACCGAAAATGAAATGGGGGCTGCTTATTGTGTTCAGCACGTTATATATTTTTGCCACAAGATGGTGCTCTAATCCCACTTCACAGTTACCTAGCGTGCAAAGTGCCTTTAGGGGGGACACTACCTTTCCTCCCTGTGCAGGGGAGATTATGTATGTTTGTATGTATAGGGTCTGTGATTACAGTGACACATGACTTCTTGGTCCCTCACAGTTCTAACAGTCTGAATATGTGCAGAAGCTAGCTCACCTCTTCCCTCAGGATGTAAAGTCGAGCATTTCCTATAAGAACGATTCATCTGATGCCAAGGTCTGGATATTTTAGCTCTTATATTTCCTGGAAAGGGAAAATGGCAGAGCTTCCATAAATAAAACTTCTAAAATACTTTATTTTTGGCCACGTCTTCCTATTATTTTCTCCTATTTTAATGATGGAAGAAAATGCACTGATTGCAGAGGCAAGGATATGTTAGTGTCCATCCTGACGGTTTGTAAAACCAGATGTGGGCATTCCTCTCATCAGGGGTCCAGCTCACAACGTCCCCAGCTGAGGGATGCCTATTGAGGATGCCCAGCTGCAGCATGCTGCCCACGTCTACCTCCTAAGTTCACTTTTCCTTTCATCTGACCCCTAGGTTGTCTCTCCAAACCTCAGTTTGTAAAATCCTCTGCCAGGGTCCTCTGGGACCTGCAGCTGCGGCTCCCAACTTTGGCACTCAGAGCACTTGAAAGATACGGTTCTCTCTGTAGAATAAATACTAAGGTGATTGCTAGATTGAATTCCATCTTGCAAATTAAGAATTTTTCCAGGACAAAATTCATGCAATCAAAAGTTATAATTACAAGCACATGTTTTAAACTATTCAAAATAATATAACTGAATGGGACCAGAAACCTGTAAAACTAACTCTAATAGGCATTAATAACTATGCCAGCATGTTTGCTAGAGTACAGGGCTGCCCTTCAGAATAACGTGGCATTTAATTTTAAATATGGAAAACAATGGCCCCTTCTCTCAGGGTTGACCAGTTCCACACTTAGTCGTAACCACAGAGCTCAGCCCACTAAACAATAAGAATTCCAAACGACAAATTGGTGGAGTGTTGAATGTGAAGTTTTAATGTATAAAGAGTGATGAGTAGAGCTCGTGGGCTAAAAAAATGTTTTTAAATTTCGATAAAAAATATTTTAAACCTTTCTGATTTAGATAAGACTACCCAAATCTTGAAGAAATTAGTGGGGATGGGGGAGGGAAAAAACAGGCAAATAAAAAATGGTAACATTGCCCTGTCTGAGTTGCTCGGCTGGGTGAGCTTCATCCTGTGCCCCTAAAGGCTGCCGGTTCAGTTCCCAGTCAGGGCATGTACGGAAGGCAACCGACCTGTGTCTCTCTCATGTCACTGTCTCTGTCTCTGTCTCTCTCTCAGAATGTCCTTAGGTGACGATAAAATAATTGGTAGCATTAGAATTGCGATTAGTTCCCCCCAAAATACCTTGTCATTTCAAAAAAAATAAACACTCCAGCCTGTCACCAGAAATGATACTTCCACCATTCACTCCAATTTCCAAAGTAGGAGTCCCCAGCAACTTCTTTCTGCGCTGGCTACGGAAGCTCCACTTTTGAGGTAATACTTGGCCCTCACTGGAGTGAACAGGCAGCTGAGATCAGAGGCGGGTTTACTGCTCTGAAGGGACCTGCCGTCGGAGAAGGGGCGAGGCAGGGAAGAGTCTGATGGCCGGTTCAGAGGAGAAAGCCAGGAGCTTTGGGTTTTCTGCGGTTTATCAAAGCGCACAGGTTTACTGGAAGAGGCTGAAGTCTTTTCAAAAGACTCCTTTCCTTGTGTTGTATTTTCAGATAGACAGATAGCTTTTTTATTTAATTTTATACTACTCATAACACTTTATTTTTACTTTGTACAAAATACAAAAATGCAAATCCAGAGAGTACAGAAGACCAGTAGCGACAGGCACACTGCACAACAGCAAACCTTGTCTAGCAAGACATTAGTTTTTAAAACTTTATTTTAGTGGATACATGCACTATATAAAACAACAACGACAACAACATCAAAAACACAGAGGCTAGATTTCGCTATTTCTATCCCCCAAATAATGCTTACTAACAAGACTTTGGATGAGACCAAAAAANACAGAAGACCAGTAGCGACAGGCACACTGCACAACAGCAAACCTTGTCTAGCAAGACATTAGTTTTTAAAACTTTATTTTAGTGGATACATGCACTATATAAAACAACAACGACAACAACATCAAAAACACAGAGGCTAGATTTCGCTATTTCTACCCCCCAAATAATGCTTACTAATAAGACTTTGGATGAGACCAAAAAAAAAAAAAAATTTAAAAGGCCAATAATATTTTTTTCATAAAAATGTAAAAGCTACCATAAAATGTCTTTTTCTCCCCATCACACTGCTTGAATTTCTTCTGCAAAGCCATACATAAAAACAAAACAAAACACAAATCCTGAACTGGACAGTAAATACTCAAGAGGGTTGTTACCTAGGTAACCACTCAGTAGTTTAAAGAACCTTTTAAACATCTGGCAGCCTTTCTATTCATTGCTCAGTACAGTGCTCTGGCCATCCTGCCTCTTCCCGCCTTTAACATCCTGGAATAGAAATGCTTGCATCCTTGAGTCTCTGTTCCTAAGAACTAGTTTTGAAAAAGAAAGTAACGTACAAAAATATTTAACAGAACTATGAGAGACATAGGCAAGGAGTCTTCTCTTCATAGCAAAGTCGGGTTTGCCTTGCATGGCTTCTATAGGACTCTTCAGGGTTTGTTTATCTGCCCCATGAACAAGAAGGCACCTACAGAGTTGAAAGAAAACAATGCGTGACTACAGTTTTAAAATGAGATGGAAGGCACATTTAAGGGACGGTCCCTGGCCTGAGTTGAACCTACTCCTCTCAATGGAACTTTCTGCAATGATGGAATGGTTTCTAGCTTCATGGTCCAAGATGGCAGCCAATAGGCACATGTGGCTATTGAGCCCTTGAAATATCGTTGGTGTGACTAAGAAATTGAATTTTTAATTATATTTCATGTCAATGAATTAAAAATTAACGTGAAATAGGTGCATGTGGCTAGAGGCTCCCATGGTGAACTCTTTGGTTCCAGGGCACACTAATTATGACATTAAAGATGCAATGGGACAAGAGGGTAAGGAACTAGCTTATATTTTGCTTTAAAAAGAGTAAAAGTTAAAATGTATTAGTTTCTCTTCTGTGCCAACATGAAGCCAACCTCTCATCAAAGACAATCTTATTTGTTCTTCAAAATTGTACTGAGGGTAGGAACTACTGTTATATGGAGCTAAAGTTTGAACCAATGGCTGACAGAGCCAAGATGGACTGAATTAACAAATCAAGTCATAACCATGGAGTTGGCTCACAGAGGTTGACAACATCTAATTTCTTGTAAAATTTTATTGGATTTATTTTTTTAAAAATCAATAGATGTCAAAAGTGCTCCAAAGGGTCGCAGAGTCCTCTATATGTTAAAAGTAAAACAACCAAACATACAATCTTGTCCTCTTTTGAAAGATCCCATCACACTGTGTAACCTAACCACAGCCTGATTTTCCTCTCTCCAGGGTGTATAGTTGATGTGCTTGCAATTGTTGCCACATGGGAAACAGACTAAAAGCAGAACCGCTGCATTTAACTACAATGGCAACCTACCTCTCTGAATTCTAACTGTGACCAATGGGAGAGAATCACTCACCTGTAGGATTATGTCGGATGAAAAATAGAAAAGGTCTGTCCACTATAAACCAGGGAGGAGATGACCTCGCAATTAGAATCGCAGCTGCGGGGGGAAAGGAAACATTCACCATCCTGTTTAGTCCACACCAGCACCCTCTTTAATACAAGTACCGACTCCTTGTAGGGTTTTATGAGGATTAAGTGACACAAACATGGCAGCTCTCAGCACACTGTTTGCCACTGAACACACACCCAGTGCATACTCACTGTCAGTACTGGCTGGTTTTTATTTATCCCATCTGCCCCCTGGTGAAGGGAGCTGGGCCTTTCAGCCTAACCAATCCCTTCTGCACATTAAGGCCCAGCTTCGTGCTCAGCCACTGAGTCTGCCTCTTCCTCTGGTACGAGCTAGGTTTTCTTCCACTGGCAACACAGACCCCCTCATCTGGGACCTACTGTGCTGTCCAGCTCGTCTTGGTGTAGACATGAGACTTAGAAAGCAGACTTCTTTAGTTCATGGTCTGAGACGTGCCTGCTCTGCCCTGCTCACCAGTAGTGGCTTCAGTTTAATAAGCCTGTGGCAAGGCCTTGAAGGCAGGTGGTGCAGGCACAACTGCCCCGTGCTCGCGGCGATGACCAGGTCCTCTTGTTCAAGCCCCAGGGAGCATCAATGACGGGGGCTTGATACTAGAGAAAACACCTGCAGCTATGCTGGGTAAACCACTTACTCGGGGTTATTAAAAACTACTCACTAGTTAGCAGATGGAATAAATCAAATTCCCTCAAAACTTATGCAGAAGCCCTAATCTCCAACGTGACTGTAGCTGTGCATAGGGCTGTCAAGGAGTGTTTATTTAAATGAGGTGGAGCCCTAACCCAGTAAAACTGGTGTTCTTATAAGAAGACAGGGAGACCAGGGGTGGACGGAGAGAGAGAAAAGGCCATATGGGGACACAGTGAGAAAGTGGCCATCTACAAGCCAAGGAGAGAGGACTGAAGAGAAACCAACCCTGCCAACACCTTGATCTTGGACTTCGGCCTCCAGAAGTGCTAGAAATGAATTTCTGTTGCTAAGCCACCCGGTCCGTGGTACTTGCTATGGCAGCCTGAGCAGACTAATCCAGCGGGGCTGGGCTTCACGTGGATGAGACCTGGGCAGTTACACAGGCCCCACACTCACAAGGACCCCGCCCGTGGTTTAGCGATCTGCTGCTGCTGTCTTGAAATTTTCGATCACTTTTGAACACGGGGCTCCATATTTTTGTTTTGTGTAGAGCCCTGCAAACCATGTAGCCCATCCTGATAGTTATACTGTTGGCAAAATTGGTCACTAACTTTGGCAAAATTTAGATGTCACTTATAATCGCCTAGAAAAGACAGGAGGCATCTTAAGGATTCCAAGCCCTTATTCTAGATCTTTGCTTTAAATGCTATTTCAAAGGAACAAATATTAAATGTTCATTTTGGAAAGGCAATAAAGTGTCTACTGTAGGTATAAATGGTACCTTTTAATGACCAGAAATATTTGACCCAGTGACAAGCGTCGCTGAGATACTGTTTTATGAGATTGGCCATATCTATTCAGGCAACCCCTGTGGATAATTAGGGGGTAAAAGGAAAACAACTCAGGATTGTCTGTTTCCTCCTCCATTATATAAG